CCATCTTCACACCTGGCCCAGATAAGGGGGAAGAACTGCAAGCTGAAAGTCCTCCTGACTCACCCCACGTGTGACATTTAAGGGAATGACTGTGGCAAAACTTAGCAACCAGGCGACGAGAGGCCAGGCTACAGGGAGGACACTTGGCCAGCCCAGAGTTCTAACAGGAGCTTGGGCGATCGTGCAGCTAGCTAATTGATAGCAGCATTCAACTCCACACTCTGGGCAGTACTCTTCATGGAAGCAATGAGTCAGCTTCGTGGTGTTTGCATCCACTTTGGCTCAGCTCTTGCACTTAGACCTTCGGACCTCCTGGCTTTGGACTTGGCTTTGTGTTCCTGGCTCCTGACCCAGGCTTGGCTTTGGACTACACTTCTGGTTAGTGATTTTGGACTTGGCTCTATGTTTCTGGCTCCTGACCCCAGCTTGGCTTTGGACTTTGCACTGTCTTCTTGGCTCCTGACCTTGGCCTGTTCTGGACTCCCTTTGACTGGCACCCCAGCCCGTGACAACGACAAAGTTTACTTTATTCTAGAGAGTGAAACGTTAACAATATCCCAAGACAAAAATTACATTAACAAAGCGTCTGATTTGAAAATACTGAAAATATATGAGTTGGTAACTGTCACGGGCTGGAGTGCGGGCAGAGCGAGAGAGAGACAGTCCAAGTCCAGTCGGGGGTCAAAGCCAAGAGGTAGCAAAACAGGAGCCGAAATAACAGAGTCCAAAGCACAAACCGAAAGCATAGTTGTCAAAGTCGGGGTCAAGGAGCCAAGAGTTCAGAGCACGAGATAGGAACCAGAAACACGGGTGAGGTGGGTGCAGAAGTGTCGTCAAGCTGACTAGTTGCTGGCACAAGGAACTAGCATGGAGTGGGGAGCTAAATATCCCTCAAGGCTGCTATCAATTAGTGTTCAGTGCGTGCATCCAGGCTTCTGCTAGAACTCAGGGCTGAGGGAACGCCTGCACTGCAGGCGCACCTCCCGCTGCCGGGATGTTAAGTCTTGATGGAGCTGGCTCTTGTAGACGTGCCATCTGTGGAGGTGAGTCAGGGGAGCTGTCTGCCGTGCGTCGTTCCTCCTCAGCTGTTGCTGGGACAGGCGGCAAGGATGCACCGACGGGCTCTGTGGTTTCGTAGGGATCAGTTGTGGGTTCTGCTGGGGCCGGGAGCTCATCCTCAGCAGCACTCATGACAATAACCTACCATCTTACTCACATTTCATACAGGGATATCATGCTATCATTATAAATAAGATATCTGAATCTATAGCAGTTATATAGCATGCTATCATTATAAATAAGATCTCTGAATCTATAGCAGTTATTATGGTACCAATTTGGGAAAGTTTTACACGGGTTAAATTTAATTTGATAAATTACTGCTCCCAGTAATGTTTATATTTCATTTATTCTTATGTTTATTCCAGGTCTCTACCAAATAGCAAGTTTAAGATTTTCACAAAAAATGTAAGTTCATATATTTAAGCACTACTACAGTGCTTCCAACAAGCCTCGTATGCCAGAGGTAATTTCTTTTTTAAATTATCAACTCATTTCAAGGCCGTTAGATATGATTGGACTTTAATTTAAACCAGATGAACTCAGTTGAGTGAGCCACATTTCTTTCCCTTTACTCACTCCTCCCATATTCAAGTTTGCTTGATCAACTGTTGCAGTATTTGTTACCAGTTTGCTGGCCTGAGCAATGCTGTTGTGACTGATGTGGTGGAAGACCACATTTTCTTACCTTACAGCTATCATGTGGCAAGTTGCTTATAAGGCCTCTGAATTAAAACTCCACTGATGCATTTCTAGTTACAATCCAACTCTATATATTTTTGCACCTGAATCAGTAGATCAAAAGGATGCCTTCCCCTTTATGGACCAGAGTTCCCTTTTAATGACACAGAGGTGGAGGGAGCAGGAAAATGGTGCTGAATCTTGACTGCTTTAAATTACTTCATGGCTTCTGACTGCATTTCCTTGCAATGCTGAATAAAGATATTTGTGCCTTTAACATTTAAAATGGAAAGTGGGTTGCCTCCTGAGCATAAGAGGGAAACTTCATCACCTCTTCATCATTGTCCACTAGAACTTCCAGCCCAGACATTGCATAATTACAAAAGAGTTATGGAAGGAGGGACCTGCTCTGTTTTCAGGGAGGGAAACACACATACAGAGCTAATCTGACGTCCGACTAGCCTTGAGCAGGGCCAGGGCTTTTTCAGTCCTGGCCCCCATCTGATGGAATGAGCTCCCATATGAGATCCGGGCCCTGCGGGATCTATTACAATTCCACAGGGCCCGTAAGACGGAGCTCTTTCATCAGGCTTTTGGTTGAGGAGGCGGGCATCCCTCTTCCCTCCTGGCTATCTCCCCTCCAGTGGCCTGGAACCCAATACTAGGGCACTGCTGAATTTCAAAGTGACATCAGAAATAACTGCTGCATGGTATTTTAGGGTTTTATTGACTTAAATTGTCTTTTTAATGGTTGTTTTAATGGTATTATATTAAGAATTGTTGTAAACCACTCTAAGCCCGCCTGTGGAGAGGGTGGTATATAAATCAAATCAATAAATAACCTATTTCTGGACTTCCGGCCACGGCGGCGCAAATGGCGACCGGGTCTCAGGACGCTCCCGGAGCCGGATCGCCCAAGCGCAGTCTGGGGGGGTCCCGCGTAAGTGGAGACCCTAAGGAGCCTTTGTGAAAGGGCTCCGAACCAGGGGGTGCTTTGGGGAGAAGCCTCTTGCCGACCAGAAGGTCGGGAATTGAGGCTCTCCCTCTACCCCAAACGGCCCCGGCTGCGACTTGCCCCTTATGGGGACTAGCAACGCCACCGAACAGCGGAGAGGTGGAGCGCTAAAGTTAAGTCCGAGCTAAGAGACAAGCGATGAACCGTAAGTTGACGCTCGAAATAAAAGCGGCGGCATAAAAGGGCTTCACCCCCCCCCAAGAAGCGGAAGGGAGGGAAGATTCCCCCCCATGAATAAGAGACTTTTTAAAGGCAAGGGAGGGGGCGAAGCGAAAAATTGAAAAAACGTATTACCTTCTAGGAGGGAGAAGAAAGCGGAGAGGAGGGAGCCATCCCGGAGAGTTACGGCAAGAACTTTTAAAGTGTAAACAAAGTTGCAACATGGCGGGGCCGAGAAAACTACTAGAGAAGCAGACTAAGAAGATGGGAGGGACTTCCTGTCCAAGCCCTTCCCCTGCTGGAACTACTGTCAATCAACAAGAAGGTGATCTTGCGCGCCATCTGCTGGAGGAACTGCAAAAAATCAACCAAAAACTAGACTCTATGGAAAGTGCCTATGGTCTTCAACAGAAAAAGATGACAGAGACAGCCGAAAAGGTAGACAATATTGCAAAGAAATGTCTGGCATCAGCAGAAGAAGTACAGAAAGTTAAGAAGATTGATTGCTGCCTCCTGTACAATGTCATAAACCTCCATCCATACTTCTTCAGGCACTCTGTCTATCAAATCTAGTCAAACCTATTGTTCACCTCCACTGTATATTCATCAGTGATATGCTCTGGGTCAAACCTGAATGGCCTAGTGGTTTAAGAACATAAGAACATAAGAGACGCCAATGTTGGATCAGGCCAAAGGCCCATCCAGTCCAACACTCTGTGTCACACAGTGGCCAGAAATACCAGTGCCATCAGGAGGTCCAGCAGTGGGGCCAGGACATTAGAAGCCCTCCCACTGTTGACCCCCCCCCAAGCACCAAGAAGACAGAGCATCACTTGCCCCAGAGCCCCTAGCTATACCTTGTGGCTAATAGCCACTGATGGACCTCTGCTCCATATGCTTATCTAATTCCCTTTTGAAGCCGTCCATGCTTGTAGTACCCACCACTTCCTGTGGCAGTGAACCAGATTGTAAAGGTGGTATCAGCAACGTCCCTGAAAATTGGAGACCAACCGATCAGGATTCTGAAAGATGTTCCATTTGAAATCAGAATGAAAAGAAAGGAATATAAAGGGTTGACCATGTTCTTACAAAATCATCAAACGAGTTATAAATGGTTGGTGCCTGAAGGACTGGTTTTTAAGTTTAAAGAGAAAAGAGAAAAAATAGACTCTATCTTCAAGGCTCAAGATGTTTTGAAAAGGCACGCCAGCAAAGAAGAAGAGGCAGAACTGGCCAAGTGGATGTCGGGATTAAGCGAGGAAGACAGCAGCTCGGAGGGAGAGGTGAAGGACGAGGAAGCCAGAGGAGTGACTGGTTCGAAGTACAACCTGAGAGAAAAAAGAGGAAAAGACCCCAAAGTTTAGAAACTCCTTTTCTTTCGGACTACACTTTGAAAGGGAAATTAATCTCAGAAGGACATTACTAACATGTTAATTGCTTTGTTTAACAGAGACAGAAGAAAAGAAGAGCGCCTGACTGCAGAAGAAATTATGGACTTTAACTTTTAACATTAAAAGAATAATATACTAATACATTAACACCACTCAACTCTTTTTTTTATCCCTCTATATACCCTTCCCAATTTTCTGAATTTTAAGCGAAATATCTCTCCTTTTTAGGAGAGGGAATAAAACATTTTTAAAAATAAATAAATAACCTATTTCTCCCACACGTGTGCTTTCATTGTATGACTTCCAAAAGTCATCTCATCAGCACTACAACACTGCACCAAAATTGGCCCAAACACCAACTCTTCCACACTTCAGACATTTTTGGTGAGGATATAACCTCCATTTCAGAGTATTCTTCTGATTTCTGCTTCCTGCGTGAACAAAAGGCTAACTATGCAAACCCACTGAACAAAAAACAAATCTTGCCTTTGGATCCCACCACTAGCCAATTTTTCCTCATATAACTTTAGATCAAGTGATTTTAAAGTATAGCTTAAATATCTAGGGTCTGGTACCCAAATCCTTCTTTTTAAATGACATGATTTAAGAATGCATTTTGTAATATATTAATAGTGTAATATTACAGGATTGACTGAGGCCAGTCCACAAGATAGGTATTCTCAAAAAGACATTACATTGCTTAGCTTTTCCATATCTTCAAAACAGGCTGCTGAGTTCTTCTGCTCCTTGCTCAGTTCTGAAACGAGCCGCATGATGGTTTCTCTGCTAGCTTTTGATTCCATCTCATGTACATTAATGGTGTCTTCAAATGTGGCAATTTGTCCTTTTAGCACAGCATTTTCTTTTTGCATGCTACTGATCTAGAAGCAAAGAAATCAGGTGATTATGTTAAACTACTTGTTTTACCATTAGCATTTCCCATTAATATAACTGTCTATACACACACATTTAAATGCTGTTTGAGTATCATGTTATACTTTTCTTGAAAATCAAGGCCAGGATCCTGCTACAGTTGAGCATTGATTTTAACAGTAGGGTTAAGCAAACACTAAATTACAAATTGGCAGGGCTATTTTTGGGCAGGAACGCACAGGAACGAAGTTCCTGCTGGCTCCCGAGTTGGCCACGCCCAGCAGGAACTCATTAGCATAATAGGCCACACCCAACAGCAGGAACTCATTAGAATTGGCTACATTCGGTGTGTGTGGCCTAACATGCAAAGGAGTTCCTGCAACAAAAAAAGCCCTGGGTTTTGACAAGGTAAACAGAATAAGAAGCAAAAGGTGGGTGTGGCTGGATGACCACACTTCTGGTAACATGGGGTGTGGCCTAATATGCTAATGAGTGGTGCAGTCAGGGGTGTGGCCTAATATGCTAATGAGTTTCTGCTGCTGGGTGTGGCCTATTATGCTAATGAGTTCCTGCTGGACTTTTTCTACAAAAAAAGCCCTGCATATTGGCATATAAACACTGGTTTCAAGTCTGCAAGCATAAGACGGAAAGACATGTGACATCAGAGACATTTGACAGAGAGTGGACCTCACCAGTATTAAGGGCAGTAGACCAAAAGAGCTGGGGACAGGAAACATAAGCCAGCCACCATACACCCTCACAAGAAGCAAACCAAAGGCAAAAAGAGCAATGGACTAGCTCTCCACCACTTTGTAATCTTACCTCACTGTCCTTCAGCTCTTTTCTGCATGCACGCAGTGAGGCATACACCTTTGCTCTTCACAGCAGATCTTTCCAAAAAGAAGCCAAAAATGACAGCCCAATGTGAGCTCTTTAGCCAGCAGGAGGGACTCTGCAGCACCACTGAGGGTCCCATCCCATGGGTCAAAGACCACTGGTACAGAGGAACTATTGGAACTCTCTCCCTCTCCCTCTAACATATGCTTCCTTAAATTAGAACTGTTCCTTAAATTAGAACTGAGAGCCAGTTTGGTGTAGTGGTTAAGTGTGCGGACTCTAATCTGGGAGAACTAAAGGTATGGGATTAATTTAAAGGAACTCTGGGATATTCTGAAAGATCAGAAACTGGGATATTCTCTGGGATCTAGAGTCTCAGGATGTCTTCACTATTCAAGGTGATTATGCACGAAGTCAAGCAAACTTGATATAGCAAAATTATCTAGTGTTATCTCTTTTGGCTCCCCTTCTATTTTTATACCAACTGAAATCCACTGTGTTGTCATCAAATGGGTCTCACAGCATTGGCATGTATATGGTATTGGCCATATCCCCCCATAGTGATGAAGCAGAAATGATATCTATGGGTAATCATTTCCAGATTCAGGTGGGTAGCTGTGTTGGTCTGAAGCAACAGAACAAAGTGTGAGTCCAGTTGCACCTTTAAGACCAATAAAGTTTAATTCTGGGTATAAACTTTTGTGTGCCTGCACACTTTGTTGGTCTTAAACGACTCAAACTTCAGAAATCAGAACTAAAAGTCTAAGTGTCAGCCCTAGCTGAATTCCATTTATTCACAGTCTCCAGAACTGGGGTTTAGGTTTGTCAAAAGGGACTGGACAGGAGGTTGGAAACTGCCAGTTTAGCCAAACGGAAATGAATTATTGCTCCTAGAAAGAGGAGGGTATTTCTTCCCCAGTTATTCAGTGAGTTCAACACAGAAGGGATCCCTGGTTTGTATGAAAAGAGAAACAGTCTTAGACTCCTCAAGAGTATAAAAGGGAAAGTTATAATCCCACAAGGGAAGTATTTAAATACAGGAAGAAAGTACTAACTTCCAGGAAACTAACATAGTTTGATGAAACTTTATTAAGACAAATTGTTGCTGAAAGAAATCTCCAAGACAAACAAACCTCTCACAGTCGAAAACTGAGTCTCTAAGAATATAAGCTTCAATTATACTCTTTTGCCTGTTCAAAGTATTCTGATTTGTATAAATGACGTTACCTCAACTTCTCATCCTGATCCAACTATGCCTTTTCAATAAAATCAACCTTTTTGTTTCAACTTTACTTCATGTCAAGTACCACTTCAGAAGGGGTTTATAAGAGGGCTCCTGCTGAGTTACAATAAATCTCTGGCCTGGGCAAAAGCCAAATAACTTCTCTATCACAGGGTGGGATACACGGAAAGTTATAATTCCTTTATTAAAATACTTGACTAAGAGGCTGCTCAGTTAGAGTGGTGAACAGCATTTTGATGGGGAAATCTCTCACACAGAGAAGAAGCAGGGATCCATCATACATACTTCCTCACAGGATCCTGGCCAAAGCATAGAACAGTTACTGGAGCGCAACACCTGCTAGTAGTGCAGCTGATCCTGATCCTGATTACCTCCTAGCCTGCTGAGGCTTGGCAAGGTTGCCTTGCTGGATCAATCTGTTCACAAGGCACAAGCCTATATGCCAGCTCTTTGCCTTCAGTTCCAACTCCTGGTTGCCAGGGCCTGTTGATGCTCCCAAGCCTCACTATTTAGACCTGAGGGCACTGCTCTAGAGGAGACCTGACTGGACCTGCCTGTAGAACACAGGGCAAGCCACAAGCAGCTAAGAAGTAAAGCCCTCACTCAGAGAGCTCACACTCTCAAGTCCTGTCTTTCCGGTTGTTTTGTTTTGTTTCCAGTTATCAAGATGGCCTACTAATGTTAAGGGTTTATCTTCACATTAGTGTTTAAAATACCGAAATTGTCTTAGTTCCTTAAGCATGATGTGTAATCTGTTATATTTCAGCAGCTCTTAGGGTGTGGCAGACAGGAACTTGGAGAGAGAGGAAAATCAACACTTCCCTCACTGTTCCAGCTGTTGTCTGGCAGGGGACTGTCAGAACACATGCTTAGACTGAAAAATCCAGATACACCCTTCCCATCTGCCTCCCAGCTCCTACTAACACCACATTATAGGTAGAACAGATGCACACTGTGAGGAAGCAAAACCATGTCATAGTAAGGAATCTGCTTGCCCAACACGAAGCTGACCTGGACCTAACATGCCCTGACCTTAGGCTTACCAAGGTCCGGCAGGGGAATCGTATTTCTTGGCAGGAGCCTTGCCGCGGGGACGGCTTCACGCGCTGCCCCCGCCGTCGCCAGGATGTGACTATCCGCGTTGCTCTGGCAACGGGGCTGTTTGGAGTTCCGTTGCCAGAGCGACGCGGAGCTTCACATCCTGGCGACGGTGGGTGCAGCGCGTGGAGCCGTCCCCACAGCAAGGCTCCTGCCAAGAAATACGATTCCCCTGCCGGACCTTGGTAAGCCTACCTGACCTTGATGGCCCAGGACAGTTGTGATCTTGTCAGATCTCAGAAGCTAAGCAGAGCTGGCCCTGGTTAATATTTTGATGGAACTCCAGGGTCACTATGCAGAGGAAGGGAATGGCAAACCACCTCTGTTAGTCTCTTGCCTTGAAACCCTGAGGGTTCACACCATAAGTCAGTGTGACGATGGCACTTCACACACACACACACACACACACACACACACACAATATGAACTTCTTCTGCACTTCCTTCCCTTGGCTTCAGACTTATTTGGGTTGTGGCAGATTGTGTTGTCCTAGCAAGAATGCATGCATGTGTAAATTGGGAGAGTGTTTGCATGTCACCTCTTCATATATCACAGAGAACACAAGTTGGGTCTGGGTCCCTACCCTGTTCATACATAACACAGTCACACATGAGTTGTGGGTTCTCCTCAAATCCTGTGCATGTGGTGCCTGATTACAATCAGGACCATGGTACCTGTGGAGAAGGGGCTTCAACCTTCCCTCCTATGCCATTTCCCAGCCTGAACCAGTCCCCAGAGGGCACTTTTGGCTCCGTTAGGAAAACCCACAATATCCCAGGGAGAACATGGGTTTCCCATTGTGCTAAACAATGTATGCCATGCTTTCACTTGGCTTGTCAATTCTCTGATGGACACAGTAAGGGCTCTAGATAACTTTACCAGATTCTTATGCCACACATATGGTAAATCTCATTTCATGTTTATTCTATAAATCAGAAACCTTTGAAAGCAGAAATTCCTGTGGCTCTTCTTTCTCTCTTATGTCAAACAAATGACAAAGATGTGCTATGAATTCATCATGTTCACTGCTGGCCTTCAAGGCTTGGATCTTGCTTTCTTCAGACTCTTTTACATATTGTCTAATAGGACATAAAATAAACACATGACTTAATATGAGAAACACAAGATAGGACGTTCCTTGCAGCATTCATAATTATCCTAAGATCTAGATTTCTCTCTTCATTTCTTTCGGTAGTATATTACAGCATTTCCAGATGTTCAGTTAACATTTGCCCTGTTTGCTTCTTAGCTGTTCTGCAATAATTGCACAAAAAGATGTTTTAGTAATAGTTACACAATATTCTGCCTGCGCATAATAGGCATAAGCTTCTCAAGTGATTTGCAGGAGTGGACTGTTGCTACTGTTTGTCATTAAAACACTTTAACTATCAACAGTAATCTTTAAACATAGCATGCATTGTATATTAAAAATGCCAGTATATAATTTGACACCTAATTTTATGATTATTCAAAAATTAATCACTTATTCCACTTATCGTTCACAATTTTATCTGACAGCATTACTTTTCTATGTCTGATCTCCTAAACCTTCTACAGGTGTTTCTGCCAGTTTATTCTGGAGCATCAGGTTAGCTGAAGAAACTTCCAATATTTAGTCAACAATATTACTGCCACAATCAGAAGATGGAAGCTTGTCATTTTCAGTGCCATAAGAGGTCCAGTGTCCTATATGAACTGGACAGTGGGGGAGTACTAAACTAAAACAAAGCAAAGTCATGTTTCCAAAATGGGAAGGAAACAAACAAATGGAGCATAAGCGCAGGAGTGGAGATAAGCGCTGCCCTCTGTCCGAAGCCACATCGAAATTGTAGGTGCCCACAATATTCCTGCAGCCATAATTCACAGTGCATTTACAAAAGCTGTTTGTATGACATTTTCAGATATAAAGTGTACCACCCTATCTTTAAACAAAAAATCAGAGAACACCCTTAAAGAGGCAACCTGTTGTAGAAGATGGCATGTCGGAATAGGATCTGGGGGACCCAGGTTCATATCCCTACTTGGCCCTGAAGCTAATTCGGTGACCTTGAGCTAGTCATTCCTTCTCAGTCTAACTTACTTGACAGGGTTGTTGGGATGGTACAATGGGAGACAGACGTATGCCACCCTGAACTCCTTGGGGGAAAGGAAGCACAAAAATGTATGAAATAAATACATTGAGGGAGAAAGGCAAAAAGGCAACTGGCTTTTAAAAACTCCAAGATCCATTACATGGAAAAGCCAGTGTTGAACAAGGACCTGTGAGACTCAGCTTCAGGCTTATTTTATTTAGCTGGACTTCAATCCTGTGTTGCTGTGAATGCTTCAAATGAGTTGCCATCTAAGGGCCAATCTGCATGTTCAGGTTTTTACAGAGCTTCCCTGCAAAATTAAGGAGGCCCCAAATGGGTTTGGAATGTCACTGAAGGGGAGGAAGGGCTCCTGCCTCCCCTGCAATCCATTGTCCCATACCAAAATAGCAGGGGGATTCCCTGTTTTTGCTGTTCTGCATGCACAGAATACTCCCATACCAAAATAGCAGGGGGATTCCCTGTTTTTGCTGTTCTGCATGCACAGAATACTCCCATACCAAAATAGCAGGGGGATTCCCTGTTTTTGCTGTTCTGCATGCACAGAATACTCCATGTGGAACAGCTAAGTGGGTCAATAACTCCCCCTCCCCTGAGCTGTTTTGGCATGGGAAAACAACTTGGGTGGAAAAGGTAGGAGCTCCCCCCCCCCACCCCATGGTGTCATTCCAAACCCACTGGGGCTCTCCTTTATTTTCTAAACGCCATTTCTTCATAGCTGCTGTGTGGCTACATGGAACCTGAGTTGGGTCCAGGAAACCCAGACTCAACATGTAGTTTACCCCTAATACTAGCAACAAAATGTAGTCTAAAAATGCAAGGAAACAACTGCCTGAAAACTCAACAAAACATTATTCTGCCTAACCTCTTACACATAAACCCTTGATAATGAAGCTCAAGACAATGCATCCACCTGGATTGAATCGAGACCTAGGTTACCTGCCTCATTACCAATGCTGATTTCTCCACGCCTATTACCCTTCTGCATATCTCACCTAAATCCAATCATGCCTGCTATTGTCATTCACCTGCTATTGTTATTTGCCTGCTAATGTCATCAGGCATCTGAAACAACTCAACTTTCCAATAAATAGGACAGATAGACTCCCATTCTAGCTGTAGCTGAAGAAGTGAGCAGTGACTCACAAAAGCTCATACCCTGCCACATATTTTGTTAGTCTTTAACATGCTACTGGACTCTTGCTCTTTTCTACTGCTACATAAACCCTTCCAAATTGACTCCAAAGACTCCAAAGAAAAAGCCTGTGGAAGATAGTCTCAGTGTCCACACATTTTCCTAAGGGAAAGATTTTCACTGACAGAGTCTTATGCCTCTTTTTTCAGCAATTACTGTGGATAACACTTCTTACTTTATGTTGCTCTAGGAATTTTATTTCAAATCAGATTATCTCATGACCCTACCTGATTTGCCCTTCTTGTTCACAAATTGCCTTCTTCAGTTCCGAGTTCTCCTGCAGCATGGCCTCTACTTTTAAGTCTGCTTGTTTTTTAGAAATGGCAATCGTACCTGATTCCTTCTCAATCTCTTGGATTCTACTTTGCATAGAGAAAAGTAAAGAAGATTGCCTAGCTTCATTTTCCTTGTAGCTCTCCACTTCAGCCTTCAGCTCCTGGATAGATACATCTTTAGAGACTGCTTTGGATTTAAGATCTGAAAGCTAAAAAGAGAGATCAAGAAACAAAGGAGGGGAAAATCTAGAAAAAAGGTTCAGTTGAGACCGTATATATTAACCATTTTCAGGACAGGAGAGGGTTCACTGTAGCTCAGCAGAGCCATGGCACATGTTTTGTATATATAAGATCCTAGAATCAATCTTTAGTATCTATAAATACAAGATTTTAAAGACCCCTGCCTGAGGTTTGGGGGAACTGCTGCTATGTAGAGTAAACATTGCCGCTGGGATAGACCAATGATCTAAGGGTCAAGCTACAGGATAAGTCCAATACATGCTGGGTCACAGATGCATGACCAGACTTGCAGACATATCAGGGAACACACCTTAAAATGCCCTCCTTTGCTCTGGGCAACAAGGGAATGCTGTGACAGGGGAGGAGTGTCCAGTTTCCATCCCACACTGCTGTTGCCAATGTAAAGGGAGGGGGGCTTTTCACTCCTTTTCTCTGGCTTCACATGCCCTAGGAGGGACACTTGAAACCATAGGAAAGGGTGAAAAGCTCCCCCACCTCCTTTTCTGTTGGTGAAATTGGGGTGGAAGGGAAAAGGGTAGCTCCTTCTCCCCTCTCACAGTTCTAAGCAAATGAGTGCCTTTTAAGGTGAGTTCCCCCAATGTACATCTGTCTATGTCTAGTCATGCACCCATGACCTAGCTAGCATGTGTTTGGTGTATCGTGCAATTATGCCCTAAGTATAAGGTAGCTCCTGATATCCCATAGATTTTGACTGGTACCTTATCTCTAAGTCTGAAGTAGAGACTTTTTTTGATCACATAAAAGCAACGTATTATTTATATGATTCTACAAGGCAGTTAAATAACAAGCCCTCATTTTCATAGTCATTTATCTAGTTTGAATGGCGCTGTAAAGAACAGCACTGTTACTTCTAGGAAAGTTAAACAGCATGAAAACCGGTTACTAAAATAAAAAATAATAATAAGCATAAATGAAATAACACCTGGCCAGATACCAATAAGAGTAATTATGTTTCATTCATCTGTACTATAGGTAAACTAACAGTATTTACTCAAAAAAGCTAGACTGGAGCTATTGCCAATAAACTGTACATTTAACTAAAAGCAAATAGTCTCATCCTGTCCTTATATATAACTAGGAATAAGGCCTGTTGTGGAAATAAATACAACAAGATCTAGAAAGAGGCTCTGGGAGAGTGCTCCGGCTTTGGGCAAACAGTGTCAATTTGCTGTGGTGACCTCAGCAGGGTATAATGACAGAGTCCACTGTTTTCTCCAGAGGAATTGATCTCTGCTACCTGAAGAGCAGTTGTAATTTTGAGTGATCTCCAGCCCTCACCTGGAGATTGGCAGGACGAAATGGCTGGTTTGGAGGGAGGAGTCTATGGCATTCTACCTGTCTGAGGTCCCACCCCTCCTCAAACCTCACCCTCTTCAGGCTCCATCCCTCAAATCTCCAGGAATTTCCCATCTGGAGTTGGCAACCCTATCAGGACTGGCCCCAATGTGTTTTCTCCCAAAGGCCAAAGTAGGTGACAGGACCAAGCTTAGTTGCCTACCAACAGGCACTGAGGGGAATGTAGGGTTGACAGCTCTAAGGAGGGAAATTGAGTGGTCTCCAGCCCTCACCTGGAGACTGGCAACAATGGTTCCCCATGAGGGACTGGCTGGTTCGGAGGGTGGAGTCTATGGCATTGTAACTGTCTGAGGTCCCACCCCTCCTCAAACCTCACCCTCTTCAGGCTCCATCCCTCAAATCTCTGAGTTCTCTCCCACCCACTGCAGCCTAGGCCACTCTTCTCTGATTGGGCCAGCGTTTCAAGGTCATTTGCATATGGAAGCAGA